TGTATTCCTAGGTATTTTATTCTTTCTGTAGCAGCCGTGAATGGGAGTTCACTCATGATTTGGCTGTTTGTCTATTATTGGTGTATAGGAATGCTTGTGAGTTTTGCACATTGATTTTGTATCCTGAGACTTTGCTGAAGTTACTTATCAGCTTAAGGAGATCTTGGGCTGAGACGTTGGGGTTTTCTAAATATACAGTCATATCATCTGCGAACAGAGACAATTTGACTTCCTCTCTTCCTCTTTGAATACTCTTTATTTCTTTCTCTTGCCTGATTGCCCTGGCTAGAACTTCCAATATCATGTTGAATGGGAGTGATGAGAGAGGACATCCTTGTCTTATGCTGGTAGTCAAAGGGAATGCTTCCAGCTTTTGCCCATTCAGTGTGATATTGGCTGTGGGTTTGTCATAAATAGCTAGTCAATGCCTAGTTTATTGAGAGTTTTTAGCATGAAGGGGTGTTGAATTTTATCGAAGGCCTTTTTTGCATCTGTTGAGATAACCATGTCATTTTGGTCATTGGTTCTGTTTATGTGATGGATTATGTTTATTGATTTGCGTATGTTGAACCAGCCTTGCATCCCAGGGATGAAGCGGACTTGATCATGGGATAAGCTTTTTGATGTGCTGCTGGATTTGGTTTGCCAGTATTTTGCTGAGGATTTTGCATGGATGTTCATCAGAGATATTGGCCTGAAATTTTCTTTTTTTGTTGTATTTCTGCCAGGTTTTGGTAGCAAGATGATGCTGGCTTCATAGTTAGGGAAGAGCCCCTCTTTTTCTACTGTTTGGAATAGTTTCAGAAGAAATGGTACCAGCTCCTCTTTGTACTTCTCGTAGAATTCGGCTGTGAATCCGTCTGGTCCTGGGCATTTTTTGGTTGGCTGGGTGTTAATTACTGCCTCAATTTCAGAACTTGTTATTGGTCTGTTCAGGGATTCGACTTCTCCTGGTTTAGTCTTGGGAGGGTGTATGTTTCCAGGAATTTATCCATTTCTTCTAGATTTTCTAGTTCATTTGTATAGACGTGTTTATAGTATTTTCTGATGTTAGTTTGTATTTCTGTGGGATCAGTGGTGGTATCCTGTTTATCATTTTTATTGTGTCAATTTTATTCTTCTCTCTTTTCCTCTTTATTAGTCTGGCTAGCAGTCTATTTTGTTAATCTTTTTTTAAAAAACCAGCTCCCATATTTATTGATTTTTTTTTTTTTTGAAGGATTTGCTGGAGAGGATATGGAGAAATAGGAACACTTTTACATTGTTGGTGGGAGTGTAAATTAGTTCAACCATTGTGGAAGATGTGGCGATTCCTCAAGGATCTAGAACAAGAAATACCTTTTGACCCAGCAATCCCATTACTGGGTATATACCCGCAAAATTATAAATCATTCTACTATAAAGACACATGCACATGTGTGTTTACTGCAGCACTATTCACAGTAGCAAAGACTTGGAACCAACCCAAATGACCATCAGTGATAGACTGGTTAAAGAAAATGTGGCACATACACACCGTGGAATACTATGCAGCTATAAAAAACAATGAGTTCATGTTCTTTGCAGGGACATGGATGAAGCCAGAAACCATCATTCTCAGCAAAGTAACACAGGAACAGAAAACCAAACCCCTCATATTCTCACTCATAAGTGGGAGCTGAACAATGCAAACACAGGGACACAGGGAGGGAAACATCACACACCAGGGCCTGTCAGGGTGTGAGGGACTACGGGAGGGATAGCATTAGGAGAAATACGTAATGTAGATGACGGGTTGATGGGTACAGCAAACCACCATGGCAAATGTATACCTATGTAACAAACTTGCACATTGTGCAAATATATCTTAGAACTTAAAGTATCATTTTAGAAAAGAGAGAAATAATGAGATTTCCAGTAAATTTTATACTTCCTTTGGGCCATTGAAATCAGGCAACAGATGAATAAATTAAGCAAGTGAGAGTCAGTGGCTTTACAGGAAAAAGGTCAGCTATAATTCAGCTTAGACATCCCTGTGACTATGACCCCAGTGATTTTTATTACTGATTAGTCATTCCCGAAGTATGGTAGCTTACTACCTAATGAGTTGATTCCTCTGTTGGACAGAATCCATTGTAAGAAAATTCTTTGTTTTGTTGATCTGAAGTCTGTCTCTTTTGTAACTGGCCCTGGCTCTTTTTTCGGTGGCGTGGTGGGGAGGGGGGTGTGTAATACCTATAGGCCTGTTGGTTGTATTGCTCCATTAGGATTTGCGTCTTCAGCTTAAAGCTTTAGTTTCCTTGGTCATACTCCATATGACATGGGTTTTAAACCCTTTAGAACTTGATTATCTTTCCCTGGGGGTAATTCGTTTATCAGTATTTCTCTTAAAATGCAAGACCCAGAGCTAGTAACTGACCATGTTTCACTTAATCTGCCAGTGTGAGAAATTGCATAGTAAAATGTAAAAAACACTTGCATTTTAGGGCAATATGTCATTAATTGACACTGTAATATTTGGTTAGAGTCACTTTGAGCCTAATTTTCCTCAAATACAAGATTAGCCAACACTAATAAAAGGTTAGTAACAAAGCTTTCTTGATATGGTAAATTTTGAGAAAAAAAGTGTGTCAACCTTCATGCTAAAAATCAAATTCTTGCTAATGTTAACCTTAGTCAACTAATATGAAAATCTAAGGAAATAATTCTAAGATCATTTCAGTGACATTGCAGTTAGTATTATTTATGTACTCTTAATAATATCTTGGGGGAGGTTAGCTTTATTGCCTTCAACTAACAGTTTCTTTTAGGTGTTGCGTTTAATCTAGCTGTTTATTTTGATGTCTATATTCTAATTTAAGTATTTGTTATGAAGAATAACTATTACCAGTTTTACTGATTTCCTGGTACAACCAAATTAATTTTAGTTTTCTTAAGTTTTTTTTTTCTTCTTTCCTTTTCTTTTTTCTTTTTTGAGACAGAGTATCACTCTGTTGTCAGGCTAGAGTGCAGTGGCACGATCTCGGCTCACTGCAACCTCCGCTTCTCTGGTTCAAGCAATTTCCTGCCTCAGCCTCCCTAATAGCTGGGACTACAGGTGTGCGCCACCACACCAAGCTAATTTTTTCATTTTTAGTAGAGATGGGGTTTCACCATGTTGGCCAGATGGTCTCCATCCCTTGACCTTGTGATCTTCCTGCCTTGGCTTCCCAAAGTGCTGGGATTACAGGTGTGAGCCTCTGCACCTGGCCCTAACTCTGTTTTATATAGCCTCACCATTTTGATTTGAAAACATTCCCAGAATCTGTTTTGTAGTCCTCGATCTGTATTCAAGTCTCATGTGTACCACTGAGAAACTTTGGGTTCTTGGGCAGATCATTTAACTGGCCCCTACACACATTTCTTCTTCTGCATAGTGAGAGGCTTTTACTTCTTTAACTCTCCTCCTCTACCCATCCTCTATAGCAGCCAGAAGAAATCCAAACTCACCTCTGCCCATATCTTCAACCTCTGCCCTCCACGCTATACCTTTTATCTATACTGGCTACTCAGGTTTTTTCACAGCATTTCACAGTTTATCTGTGTTTTTGATTTATTTACTTGTTTCCCCTATTAGACTAGATGCTTGATGAAGGCAGATAATGTATTTTCATTCACTGCTGTAAAACCTAATATAGAATAACATGTGTTGCACATAGAAGATGCACAAATACTTACTGTTCTTAAGATCCTATGGTATTCCTGTTACTTTCAGATAGGCATGCAGCTTTTTCTTTCTCCTGGTGTAGTGTTTACTAAATTCTTTCCAGCTACTTGGACATTCATATTAAAATGATATTTTAATTTTAACTTGGTAAGTATAAATTACAATGCCATATGAAGGCTCTAGCTCCAGTTATGTCAGTTTCTGGTATATTCTTTAGTTGATGTATTTCTAGGATAGTTTTTAAGTGATTACAAAATGTTCCTAGTGATTGGTAAGAATATGACTTGGTCGTCTTGGCCTATCTGTACTATAAAATGTGACTCTAGCCTAAGCTTAAGTTTGTTGCTGTTATGTTCGTTGTGTAGGTGCCAGAAATTTACTCCTTTAGTGGTGTCAGTATTGATATCTGTCATCTGGAAAGCAAGAATCTTCCTGAAATTTACTAATAAATTTAATACGACTGCCATACTGCCCAGAAATAATAAATTGTTCATTTTTGGGGAGGTGAAGTACCAGACTACTGTTTGGTCACTTACCTAGTGGCTTAAAGGAACTAGAGCATCTGTCCAAGGGAGCCGTTTAGTTTCCCCCCAGCACTTATGATTGAGCCTTTGACTATTTCAGAAGTGGGATTGGAGAAGTTTGTCTTGTTCTCTTGTCTCTTTTCAGGTTGAAGTTTAGGAGATTAACTCATTTTGACCATTTTCCCATTTCATTTTTGCTCTAGGCAGTAACTGGGGCTAAAGCTCTTGGGAGGCACTTGGCTGTGCTTGCTGAAGTATTTCCAGTAGTTGGACTGTCTCTGGGAAATAAGTGCATTTCGTTTAAAGCTCTTCAAAGCTGTGTAAATCTTGGCAGAACCCCATAGAAACCATAGCGTATAATTGCTTTTAGAACAACTATATTATTAAATGAAGAATTTGGGGTAAAACATATTGCTTTAATGGTCTTAATAATACTATGTAAAAGGTCCTTCTACATTAATATTCAAAATATTTTCTGTAGTGATGGAAATCCTCTGCATCTCCCAGTTCGAAGGTAGGCTTTCCCAATCTTTTGGGATCTAGCAAGGTTCATTTTAGTCTTACCTGCAACTATCCCTGCAAGAGTGTAGATTTGAAGTTTTTAATAAAGTTAACCAGTTCTTGTATTTCTGATAAATAGAGGAGAATGGCATTTGAGTAATCAGAAAATACTACCTTAAAATAATAAAAATTATTTAGAAAATGATGGCATTATAATGCTTTCTAAGCTTAATGATGTTAATTAAAATTGTACAGTTATTGACTAGTACTTTTTTTATACCTATCCCCAGGGAAGGAAGAATATGCAAGATGGTGCAAGTGATGGTGAAATTCCAAAATTTGATGGTGCTGGTTATGATAAGGATCTGGTGGAAGCCCTTGAGAGAGACATTGTATCCAGGAATCCTAGCATTCATTGGTTAGAGTCTTTCAAATTATTGAACTAAAGTAGAGGAGAAAACAGTTATAGGTTGGCTTGGTGTGAGTTTTCTCTTGTTGTTCATTAATCTTATTATGACCACATCTATAATATGAGAGTATAGATTGGTGGGACAGTTTCTGTCGAATAACCAAGGACATTTTACATGTTAATTTGAAGTTGACGTAACTGATGCAAGTTGTAAATTGAATGACATGTCTTTATTAATAACTAACGTTTTCACTGATCTTTTTATGCAGTAAGAATTAGAATAATGTTCTTAATATGCGAATAATTTCATAAATTAAAAAAAAAATTAAAGAATTAGTTTTGACCATAAATCAAAGGTCCCTGAAGAAACCTTATGAAACTTTGCTATTCTTTCAAAGGGATGACATAGCAGATCTGGAAGAAGCTAAGAAGCTGCTAAGGGAAGCTGTCGTTCTTCCAATGTGGATGCCTGACTTCTTCAAAGGGATTAGAAGGCCATGGAAGGTGAGAATTTATTAAATTGGTTTTGGTGTAAGAATGCTGCTTGTATCAGAATGAAAGGCAGCATTGCTGTAGTTTTTAATGTATTTAACACGTTTTGAAAAGGCTGGGAGAAGTTTATATACACCCAAAACACCTGGATTTGATTTTGTAGTGTGACATGCCGCATCTGCATGGCAGGAGAGATGGGCTTGCAGTGTTGAAACTATATAGCCCTTAGCTAAAGTCACTTTCCTCAGGGGTGCTGAGCTAGAGATTAGTTTTAAGAATTTTCTAGATGTATGTTTTTGTAGATAAAAAGTTAAGCAGATTAAGCAGAAATAGTACATAGTCTTATAGAAGAAAGGTTTGGCCAAACAGTTATTTTTCAAAAGTTGGAATATTTCTCCCTGATTGTTAATTATTTTAATTTGTTTTACTTGTCACTGACTTGAAGCTCATTGTTAACTATGTTATAGACTACATTTTTTATACTTTTGAGTTCTCACAGATTTTTTTTTCTAAAAAGAGGTATTTAGCTGTGTTTTAAAAAAACAATTTCTTATGTCATTACAAAATATGATCTGACTTTATCAATTTATTTAGTCCTTGCTGTGCTTTTGTAGTATTTATTGGCAAACTGGATTAAGAAAATAAATGTAAAGATATATTTCCAAAGAATCTTATTCCTGACCTAATACATTTTTTTCTGTAACAATAGAATAAAATTCTTGAATAGAACTTTTATGTTTTTTAAAAGCTTATGTTTGAATTTTATGGGGATTTGTGAGAATATTTACTAAAATGGGACAATAAATGTATTTTATTTATTTTTTGAGATTGAGTCTCACTCTGTTGCCTAGGCTGGTAGGCAGTGGCACGATCTCAGCTCACTCACTGCAGCCTCCGCCTCCTGGGTTCAAGTGATTCTCATGCCTCAACCTCCTGAGTAGCTGGAATTACAGGTGCGTACCACCACACCAGCTAATTTTTGTATATTTGGTAGAGGCTGCGTTTTGTCATGTTAGCCAGGCTGATCTTGAACTCCTGGCCTCAAGTGATCCGCTTGTCTCGGCTTCCCCAAGTGCTGGGATTACAGATGTGAGCCTGATAAATATATTTTAAAGAATACTTGAAAATAAGGAGGCCTCAGAAATTTTTCACATTTATAAAATTTGTCTCGAAACATAAATTCCAGAATTTCAGAACTGGAATAAGTCTTTGAGATCATCTTAAATCCCCACTATGTCACAGACTAGAAAATTGAAGTGCAAATAGGTTGTGACAGCCATAATAGACCTTTAGAAAATTTAAAATTCAATGTGTCTCAGCTTCTTATGTTAATATGTGCCTTCCCTCAGCAGTACACTTTCTCCTGCATGGTGTGATACTATTCCTTTATCCATCAGGCACTTGTTTAGCCCTTTTATTTTGTTTTTCAAGACATAGTCCTGAGCCGTGAGACATCCCAAATAGAGAGCTGGGCACTTATAGGTAGCTTTCAGTGTTAGTCAGTAGCAGAGCCTAATGGGTGGTACAGTCCACATGTGCTTGGAGAGTGAACATGACATGATTAGAGAGGATTTTATGCTTGAGGATGTGGGATTCAAGTGGCAGTTTGTAGGGTTGTGAGGATTTCACTGTGTTGGAGGAGACATTTTGGAGTTGTAGGAACTTGAGTGGGGGATGAATGACGGGAACAGCAGAATATAGTGAGAAAGTGTAAGTGTATTTGGGAAATAGATGCATTGAAATTTTGTAAGGCAAGCATCATAGCATATTGGTAAGGGGCACAGATTGTGGATCCAGACTGGGTGCATACGAATTCTAGCCCTTTCCACTTACTAGATCTGTGATCTTGAGCAAGTTATGAAACTTCTCCATTCCTCAGTTTTCTTATCTATAAAATGGGAATCATGTTATCTCATAGGATATAGTGAGGTTAAAATGAGGTAATGAGACAGTATCTGACAATAGTTAGCACTTCTAACTAAAAAATAATTTAGTGGAAGATTCAAATGGGAAGGAAGGTTGAGGCCAGATTGTATTTCCCAGGAATTTGGTCCTTTTTCTATAGGTGTTTGGGAGACCTCTTGGAGCAGTTAGGTAGCATCGTTAAACTAGTGAGTTGGGGAAAACAGTCTGGTTGCAATGAGCACAGAAAGATGGAAGGCAGAGAGCATGTTCAGAAGTGGTTGGCAGTAGTTAAGGCTTAAAATTCAAAGAACTTGAATTGGGATGGTAATTAGGAATGGAAGGACAGATGCTAGTGATATTTAATGAAGGAAGTTGGTAATCTTTTGAATGTAATATGTATGTCAAGATGAAGGCGGGGCAAAGAAAATTGGGTTTTGCCTATAGCAGAATAGTGACGATAACATAAATGTGGAGCTCAGGAAGGTGAAAGACACTGGCTTATTCTTCTTGATGAAAGTTCAGCAGGAGCAAGGGGAAAGAGATAAGGAATTATTTTTGAGTGTGAAATTTTGGTACAATATTCATGCAGAAATGCACCAAGTTAGAAATACAGGGATGAAGCTTATGAGAGTAGTAAAAGATGGAGATATTAAATGCTTTTTCAAACATACATCTCTGGGACAAACATTTCTCTAACAGAATAATAGTGAGGTTCTTCTTTGTAAGTTTTAAGATCAGAAAATTATACTCAGAAAATAAGGAGATGCCCAAGGAATAGACTACTGTATTTTCAGTGGCTGGAGTATGTAAACATATCCTTGAATCAGTCTTACATTGAGACTCTATTCATCTATCCTTTTATCATCCAGGCCATCTTAGCACTTCTCAGACTGGACCATAATTTATCTGTATTTTCTAATAGATTAAAAGTCTCTTGAGGATTTATGTGTGATTCCTGACAGATTCAACTTTTTTCCCTCAGGTCCTGGTACTTAGTAAGCATTGGATAAATTTACACTGGGTAAATACACATTTATTGAGTATTTACCTTGTGTTAAGTGATAGGCTAAGTGCAGAGGATACCAAAATGAGTGAATAACAGCCCCCAAGAAGCTCATGGTCTTTGGGTGAATAGCATATATTTAATGGACACCATGTGTTAAGTGCAGTATTTGTTGAGGACAGTGTGACTAGTGTCTGATAGAGTAATGAACACGTTGCTATGGCAGGAGAGAGGAAGAGGGACTTAGTCTGCTATGGAGAATAATAACAGGGATGGCCTTCCAGAGCAGGTGATTCTGAGCTGAGACTTGAAAGATGAATAGAAGTTCGGCAGGCAGATGTGATGAAGAAAGGCTCTAAGACAGAATGGATGTCATGTACAAACACATGAAAAGTGTAAGAGAACATAGTATATGTGAGGAATCTTCTGTAGTTCAGTGTGGTTGGAAGTATAGAGTGTTTATATGGGACATAGTAACAAAAGACACTGCTAGAATGGTCGATGTGACCTACTTCTCACAAAGAGCCCTGCATGCCATGCTAAAGATGTCAGTGAGCCATTGAAGAGTCTTTAGTAGGAGGGTGATTTGCAAGTGTAGGAAGATCTCTTTTCTGTAGCAGTATGGAGGTTAGGTTGGGGATGGGCATAGATGGATATGGAAAAGAAATCTGATTAGCAGGCAGTTGAAATAATCTAGCCAAACAGTGAGGACAAACGCCTGCACAAAGGCATTGGCTTTTTGCCTAGTGAAAAGTGAATGAATTTGTGAGGGATGTTTAGAAGGTATAAGTGACTGACTGTTTATAGGGATGTGGGAGAGAGACAAGTTGTATGACTCCCAGATTCCAGGCTTGAATGGAAGGCATATGCAATGACTTCTGACATCACCTACCCAGAGTTGGGCCAAACTTCACAAGGTTGAGAGCTCAGTTTTCTGCAAGACCGCCCTCATTTCAGACACTAGCTGCAAACTTGGGGGTCCCCAGGTCACTCTTATGACCAACTGGCTACAAATTCAGGGGTTCCCACTACCCTCTCAGGTTTGATTATTCTCTAGAATGGCTCACAGAACTGTGAGTCCTTACAGAAGGAAAGGAAGCCTTACAGTTGAGCCCAAGACAACATAGGCATGAACATTGTGGATCCCCTTACACGTGGCTTTTCTTCTGCCTCTGCCGCCCCGGAGACAAAAAAACAACCCCTCCTTGTCCTCCTCCTCCTTAGCCTATCCAAGGTAAAGAGGTAATACACTTCCACTTAATGAATAATAAATATATTTTCTCATAATTTTCTTAATGACGTTTTCTTTTTTCTAGCTTTATGGTTAGAATATAATATACAATACATATACAAAATGTGTGTTTATCTACAATTTTTATTACCAATAAGGCTTCAAATCAACAATAGGATATTCATTGTTATGTTTTTGGGGAATCAAAAATTATATGCAGATTTTTGACCGTGTGGGGGATTGGTGCCCCAACCCCTGCGTTGTGCAGAGAGCAACCATACTCGTGATAACAGTGTTACTGTAGCCAAAGTATATAAATTGGAACCAGCCAAGAGGAGAAACTTACAGGGCGAGGTCTGGAAGGATGCTGATGGTGATGCTTTTGTCCTCTATTCCTGGAGTCAGGATGCTTTACTCTCCTGAATGTGTGACAATATGCAGATGATTGCAGTACATGGACATGTGACAGTACTGCTATAGTTTGGATATGCTTTGGATATTTGTTCCACCAAATCTTATGTTGAAATTTGATTATTGGTGTGTGGTGTTGAGAAGTGGTACCTAATGGGAGGAGTTTGGGCATGGGGCAGATCTCTCATGAATGGCTTGGTGCCGACCCCATGATAATGAGCAAGTTCTCACTCTGTTAGTTCTCATGAGAACTGGCTGTTTCCCCTCTCTCTTGCTTCTGCTCTTGCCGTATGAATTCTGCATGCTGGCTCCCTTTCACCATTCTCCATAAGTGGGAGAAGCATGAGGCCATCACTAGAAGCTGAAGCTGAACGGGTACAGGCACCATGCTTCCTGTACAGCCTGCAGAACTGTGAGCCAAATAAACTTTTTTTTCTTTAAAATTACCCAGCCTCAGGTATTTCTTTATAGCAACACAAATGGACTAAGAGAAATACACAGAGTATTGCTAATTAGGGAAGGTCACATGATCAATTGAGTCATTGCCCATGGTTCTTAACCTCTCCATTTTGTGTATGTACATTTTCTTTTTCCATTCATCCACTGTTGGGCACTTAAGTTGATTTTATATTTTGGCTATTGTGACTAGTGTTGTAATAAACACAGGAGTGCAGATACCTCTTCAATATATTGATTTCCTTTTTTTTTAGTATATATCTAGGAGTAGAATTACTGGATCATATGATAGACCTGCTCTTCATTTTTTGAGGAACTTCTGTACAGCTTTCCACAGTGGCTGCCACCAACAGTATAGGAGCATTCCCCTTTCTCCATATCCTCACCATCATCCGTTATTGCCTGTGTTTTTGATGAAAGCCATTTTAATTGGAGTGAGATGATATCTCATTGTGATTTTGACTTGAATTTCTCTAACGATTAGTGATGTTGAGGATTTTTTCATTATCTGTTGGACATTTGTATGTCTTCTTTTGACAAATGTCTATTCAGACCTTTTGCCCATTTAAAATTGGATTATTTGTCTTTTTGCTGTTGAGTTGCTTGAGCTGCTCATGTGTTCTGGTTACTAATCCCTTGTCAGATGAATATTTTGCAAATATTTTCTCCCATTGCAGGGGTGTCTCTTTGTTGATTTTTTTTTTTTT